GGGGAGGGAAATACAGGGAAAATGAGATGTTCCTTTCAAGTCCTTGGAGGTCTTCCATTTATCTTTTTATGATCAGAGAAACAATACAAACTGTATGTGTGGAAAACTTGTACTAGAAACATGAACGTAATACTACTGACATAGAAGTTATGTTATCATTCCTTTGTTTTGATTTGTATCCTATCTTATCAGAAAGACTCAGGGTGATAATAGTACATGTCGGAACATTAATAGTATCACATTAATAGTTTCTTCCAATGGAACTTCAGCCCATGCCATTTGCAAGGACTATACTTTAACCATAATCTTCATTACATGAGTCTTGTGTACAAATAAGTTCCAGTGATGACAGTGGGATTTCCTTCTGTGGTTAGGGATAGAGGGTAATACAGTGGGGTTAGTATTTATACAGTGCTTTAGACTGTTCACTGTGCTTCAGAGCCATAATTGTCCCAATCTCAGTAGTATTGTCTAAATGCTGTAGGAACTTCATGTTGATTGTACCAGCTGGGAAGGTGGACTGGATGTGTAATCCCCCACACCAAACATCTGACTGGTATGGTTACCAGTGCTGATTATCTGACAGTCGCATACAAACAGTCCTAGCTGCTGGAGGCATGCACATTTGAGCCTGAGCAATGTCCGTCTTAAAACTATACTGCATAAACTTAAAACTATCTGCATATTTCAGAGAGTTTTTCACTTATAACTCCTCCGTCGTGATGCTCCCATATTCCAGGAGCAGCATGGGGAGGCATTTCAGGGTACAACAGGAGGGGGAAAGTGGGAGAGTCATGCTTCAGTGCACATAAGTCTTTCCTTATTTTTAGACAGGATTCAAATTTTTAGACAGGATCCAACCCAGTGACTTGCCTACATTCCCTTTGTGCATTCATGGCAAACACAGTGTTTGAACCTAGGTATTCCTGGTTCACAGTTCAGTTGCTTAGCTGGTATGCCACAGTAGCTCCCTGTTTATATTTTTAACTATAACATCTTCTTACGTGTCCTTTTAGTAGTAGTAGTAGTAGTAGTAGTAGTAGTAGTAGTAGTAGTAGTAGTAGGACTAAAATAGTATTCTTTATCATCTAGAAGTGGAGAAGCCTAGATCACAGAATCATAGGATTGGAAGTAACCTCCAGGGTCATCTAGTCCAATCCCCTGCACAATGCAGGAAATTCACAAATATGTCCCCCCACACTCCCAGTAACCACTGTTCCACACCCACAAGATGACAAAAACCTCCAGGATCTCCAGCCAAACTGGCCTGGAGAAAAATTGCTTCCTGACCCCAAATTGGTGATCAGCATTTCCCTGGGCGTGTAGGAAAGGGCCACAAAAACGAAGCACTGATGCAATTCTTCCTGCCCTCCCTCTCATGATCTGCCTAAGTTCACAAAATCAGCATTGCTGATAGATGGCCATGTAGCCTCTGTTTGAAAACCTCCAAAGAAGGAGAGCCCACCACCTCCTGAGGAAGCCTCTTCCACTAGGAACTGCTTTAACTGTCAGGAAGTTCTTCCTAATGTTTAGCCGGAAACTCTTTTGATTTAATTTCAACCTGTTGTTCCCGTATCAACCTTCTGGGGCAACAGAAGACAACTCCATACCATCCTGTAGATGAAAGTAGTAGTAGTAGTAGTAGTAGTAGGACTAAAATAGTATTCTTTATCATCTAGAAGTGGAGAAGCCTAGATCACAGAATCATAGGATTGGAAGTAACCTCCAGGGTCATCTAGTCCAATCCCCTGCACAATGCAGGAAATTCACAAATATGTCCCCCCACACTCCCAGTAACCACTGTTCCACACCCACAAGATGACAAAAACCTCCAGGATCTCCAGCCAAACTGGCCTGGAGAAAAATTGCTTCCTGACCCCAAATTGGTGATCAGCATTTCCCTGGGCGTGTAGGAAAGGGCCACAAAAACGAAGCACTGATGCAATTCTTCCTGCCCTCCCTCTCATGATCTGCCTAAGTTCACAAAATCAGCATTGCTGATTTACCCCCATTCCCATCAGCTAGAAATAACATGGAAGAAAAGATGGTTGTGGTACACATAGTCAAGTACCCAAGAGAAGCAAGATGCCTCCCAACTTGTCAAGTGAAGACAAGCTGAAACATTGGATGACTCTACAGAGCCATACAGCTCGGAGAAACATCTCTACAAGATGACCTTGCAAAGGCAAAACCCCCTGCAATGTAAAAGACATCACTGGAGACCAATATAATTGGAATGGAATCAGATGTAGCTGAAAACTGAAGCACAGCTGCACACATCAAACTGCTTTGCAGGGGAGGAACAACCCTGTAAAGAATAACGAAGGCCTTCTCAGTTCTAAACAATACCATACAGGATAGATCATCTTGGTAGTGGAAAGTGCCTTCAAGTCATAGTCAACTTATGGTGATCCCATGGAGTTTACAAGGCAAGAGAAATCCAGAGTTAGTTTGCCATTGCTTACCTCCATGTTAAGACACTGGTATCCTCTGGAGATCTCCCAGGCCTGTAGCTACCGCAGGGCCCAGGGGGCCTGCCCCCCATGGTTTTTACAGGCCGCTCCCCAACCCTTGGCTCCACCACCATCCCCCTGCTGCCATCTCTGCCTTCAGCCCAGCGGCCCATGACTCTGTGCTGCCTGCTGCTGCCCCGGCCATCCTTGCTGCTGCTGGGAGGTCAGAGTGGAGGGCTGCTGAGCAGGGACACCTGCCACCCACCACACCTCCCTCCTGGGTGCCTGCCTGCCTGCCTCCCTGTCATGGCCAGCTGGGCTCCCACAAGGAGGAAGAGGCACCCTGCTCTCTCCCCCTCCCCAGCCTCTGCCACTGGAGACCAGCCCGGGGGGCTTCTCTCCTCACTGCCTTGGGAGCAGGTCATGTGGGGCAGGCTTGGTTGTGGCCTTTCTCTCTCCACCCCTCCCAGCAGTACCGCACAGACATATAATGTAGTTGCACTAGCAGGTGAAGTGGTAGTTGATGCTGACAGGCACAGCCGGGTAGCGACTCCTGCCTCAGCAACTCGCCACGGGATGGGTGCCCCCAGCACCACATGCAGAAGGGCGCCAGACTGCTCCAGAAGGTGCCAAGAGGGCGCAGCAGGAGGCAGAGCAGCTGGCCGGGAACCGAGTCCATGGTGAGCCTTCTTGCGGTGTGGTCTGCCTGGGCCTGGGGAGCCCTTTGCCGCCTTTTTAACAAGTTCTACTGGGGCGCATGTGACCGGGGGCACTGTGGAGGGAAAAGACCGGTTTCACTTTCCTTTACCGAAAAGCAAAACTTTGCTTGGGCTCTGAAGGTGTGCAATGGTTGCAAGGCGACCCTCCCCAAAACTCGGTCACCCATTCAAGCCTATAGTTGCAGGTGAACCACCCAGGAAGGGCTGCCCCCTTTCAGAAGCATTCAGGCCAGGAGAGTGAGGTGGTAAATGGATTGCACCACAGCAGGCTGCATGGCAGCCCCCCCGAGCAAAACATTGGCCCCCCAAACAAAACGTTGTTAGCTATGGGGCTGTAGTCTATGTCTACAGCATTCCCCTGATCCAGCAAGATAGTAACTTTCTCAAAAAAAGAGATAAGGTTAATCTGACATGACTTGTTCTTGAGAAACCCATGCTTGCTCTTAGTAATCACAACTGTCCTTTCTAAATGCTCAAGGACTGTCTGTTTGATGATTTGTTCTAAAACATTCCCAGGTATAAATGTCAAGCTGATAGGATCCCCCTTTTCCCCCTTCTTGAAGATGGGAACAACATTTGCCCACCTCCAATCTTCTGGTACCTCACCTGTTCTTCAAGAATTCTCAAAAATAATGGGCAGAGGCTCAGAAATTACATCCATGAGTTCTTTTAGTACCCTTGGATGCAGTTCATCTGGCCCTAAGGACTTAGTTTCATTTAAAGAAACTAGGTGTTTATGTAGTACCCCATGCCGATCCTTGGCTGCAACTCCCTTCCGTCATCGTGTGTTCTGTTTTTGGCATGTTGATCACCATTTCCCTTGTAAGAGAAGACTGAGGAAAAGTAGGAACTGAGCAGTTCTGCCCTCTCTTCATCACCTGTTATAATTTCACTTTCCTGTCTCTGCAGTGGACCTACCATGTCCTTGCTCTTTTTCTTACTTTGAACATGAGAACCTTTTTGTTGTTGTTGTTTTTAGCATCTCTCACTAGCCTAAGCTCATACTGAGCTTTTAACTTTCCTAACTCTCTCGCTAGCAGGAGTCTTCTGGGACTGGAATGACAGGCCCCAAAGTGGAATGATAACCCCTAGGGCTAGCAGGAGTCTTCTGGGACTGGAATGACAGTCCCTGGGGGTAGCAGGAGTCTTCTGGGACTGGAATGACAGCCCCTAGGGGTAGCAGGAGTCTTCTGGGAATAGAATGACTACCCTTGGGGGTAGTAGGAGTGTTCTGGGACTGGAAAGACAGGCCCCAGAGTGGAATGATAGCCCCTGGGGTAGCAGATGTGATCTGGGAGTGGAATGACAGGCCCCACAATGGAATGACATCCCCTGGTAGGAGCAGGAGTGTTCTGGGAGTGGAATGACAGGCCTGACAGTGGAATGACAGCACCTGGGAATAGCAAATGTGTTCTGAGGGTGAAATGCCATGCCCCACAGTGGAATGCATCTGCCACCCCCAGGGGCTGTCATTCCAGTCCCAGAACACATCTGCTACCCCCAGGGGCTGTCATTCCACTGTGGGGCCTGTCATTCCACTCCCAGAGCAGTGTATTTGGGACCAGAGATCTTAATGGAAAATCCATTCCACATTTTCTTTGCAACTCTTCTTGAGCTTTAATTATTTCAATGGAGCCAATGCAAGTCAATTAGCATTCCTGGCTCCCATTATTTCCAATGGGCCTTCAAGTCTCTCCCATCGTTTCCAATGGGCAATCCTGTCCTTCCTGCCTTCAAGTCTCTCCCATTGTTTCCAATGGGCAATCTTGTCCTTCCTTTTAGTACATCTGGAGAGATGGTACCTGAATAAGCCTTGGTCTTAAAGATGCCACTGGACTCTTTTGGGGTGCTAGCTATGTGGGGGACACACAGATCTGCCCTCACAGAGGAGGGAGAGATTCTACTTGAATAAGCCTTAAGAACATAAGAACATAAGAGACACCAATGTTGGATCAGGCCAAAGGCCCATCCAGTCCAACACTCTGTGTCACACAGTGGCCAGAAATACCAGTGCCATCAGGAGGTCCAGCAGTGGGGGGCATGTCTAGTGCTGCCCTGTTAGAACTCAGTTTCCAATTTTTTTTTGCCTCAACAGAGAAATAATAATAATATGCACAGAAAACGGGCAGCGTCTGAGTCCCCAAAGCACAAGCTCCGACACCATTTGCTCCATTTCCCCACTTCGCCTCCACTTGGGAGGTGGCTTTGGTTTTGTGCGCACTTTCTTTGGTTCCCGCAGCAGCCTCTGGTTGATGATTCAGGGACAGTGTACCTTTGGCTTTAGTTCTGAGGGGATATATGTTGGAGATTGCCTGGCAGCTGTCTGGGCTGTGGCTCCCGGGTCCCCGGTTAAAATCCCCCTTCCCTATTGTGTGCCTCCTTCTCCTTCACTCAAGACTGTCCCTTCCATATCAAATTCCAAAAGAGTCTTCCTGTTCAGTGTATGCAGATTTCTCCTGATAGCATTCAAGTGAAACCTTACTCCTAGTAGAATTAACATCCTCAGGAATCTTCACCTTTTATGGTGGGGGCGGACACAAAGCAAACACTAAAGAGAATGAACGAGGCCAGCTACGGCCGGGAAGGAAGTGGCGACACAAAGTGAGGGAAGGCAGTCATTTGTAAAAGTACCTTCGACGACACCCCCCCCCATTAATGAAAAGGGACTTATGCCTGAAGAAACACAGGCTTGAACTGAAAGGCTGCCTCCCTGTGCTTGCTTACGTAGGAGTTAAGCCCCGTTGCACTGAGTAGGGCTTTCTTCATCATAAACTTGCCTGGGTGTCAAATCTCTCACACAAGTCGCCAGCCCTGTGGATCCTAGCAAGACTCAGGAGCGAACACAGACCCTTTCCCCGCCCTTCCTAAGTGGCACTTATTTGTGGCTTCCTTGTGTTGTGATGGGAAGGAAGCATCCTTGGTTTCGGTGTGCTTTTGTTTCCGAGGAGGTCTGCGCTTGGGGGAAGGGCAGCATAGCCCCAGTTTGTCCTGTGCACGGGGCGACATAAGCCTCGTCAGCTGGGGGAGGGCACCTATCCAGGACTAGCAGCCCCCCCGACATGAAATTTTCCCCTTGCTTGCCCACATTTTGTCTTGGGTGGGGCTGACAAACATGGGGGGGGAGGACGGGAGTGATGGTGCAGACGAGCAAGCGGCTTTCCAAGGGGGGTGGCTCAGGCAGACCTTTCCCCAGGCCTCATGCTGAGGCGCGGGCTGGGAAAAGCAAGGGGTGGGCGGGCAAGCAACTTACCATACTTCTTCTTTTTTCTCCAGAGCTGCTGGGAGCAGGGGGAAGCCGAGGATGGGGCAAGAAGGCCTTCCCCGGGGTGCCACACCTCTGGGTGGCCCAGGGGAAGCTGAGGATGGGATGGGAGAGCTGCTGGGAGCAGGGGCCAGGGGTTGGTCATATACCCCCCCCCCGGGCTCCTCACTCCCAGAGCGCCGCTCCTGTGCGCTCCCCCTCCAACTGACCCCTGGTAATGCCTATTAGGTCATAATCCCCTTCCTGTATTAGAACTTCAAGTTTCCCCTGCTTGTTTCCCATACTCTGCACATTAGTGTAGAGACCTGGGAATCCATGTTTTATTCACCCTGAGGTTTTTGTTTCTGTACTTACCTGTGAGTTAATGTTACGTAGCATACGTGCCACACCCCGCTAAACTTTAGAGTTCTTATGTGATGATATTATTGTTAGTGGACTTTGGCACACTCAGGTGGCATTCAAACTATCTTTGCTGTCTTTTCCACTGTTTGTCTCAAAGGCCATATTCTTGTAATGGCTACATGCTGGCAAACGTCCTTTATTGAGTCACCTTGACAAACCAATTTCGACCGTACTAGTAACTATGCATAGCAGCAAACACTAATATAGTCTATTGTCCGACTTTCCAGGTGCTTCTGAAACAAAGTCAGTTATACTGGGTATTATTCCCCGGATTCGTGGTGGAAACAATGACTCAGTCAGCAGGCTCTTGGGAAGCTGGCATGCCAATGTATATCGTTACTGGGGGAGGTCATTAAAACTTAATCCCGCCATTATTGATTTTGAGGTAAGCCTTTTCTTTCAGATGGAGAAGCTCCCCATTTCTAACGGATTGAAAGTGTACTAGACCAGATCATTTTATATTTTATTGTGAGTCCCATCTTAGAACAAGATTAAATTTAATGGGCCACTGATTTCCTGACCTTATCCCTATTTCACAATGGGGAGATGCATTTTATTTAGCAATGTCTTCAGAAGTGATAGAGATAAGAAGTGGAGTCCAACTCCAGTACTGATGGTTAAGTTTATTGCATCATGGTCCTGCCTAAACTGTCAAGGCAAACCTTTAAATAGGCATATTAATCAATGTTTTATTATATTTGGAAAAGGAAAATAATGAGTTCTGCAATTTTTTTCAAAATATCCAATGAAGCTGTAAAGCTTTTCCAAATGGAGATTCATTTACACAGAGAAGAAATGTATGCTGTAGAACAGTGGTAGAACACAAGCTGTGCATGTGGGAAGTAATACAGTTTACACAGATTCCACAGGCTGGGGCTGGGGTCACTACCCTCTAATCACAGTCAAACGTGAATTGCGAGTTCTCCTTGATTGTTGTGTACATGGTGCCAATTTGGATTGGAATGTGATGTGGTGTGTGTGGAGAAGGAGCTTCAGCTCCCCCTGCAACATTTTCCTGACCTGACACGGTCCTGGAAAGGTGCTGTTTGGCCCACTGGGGAAACCTCCATGTTCCCTGGAATACCTGTTGGTTTTCTCACTAGGCCAAACCACACCCCTGGGACCATTTCAGGTTGAAAAAATGGCCCAGAGGATAAAGCTACAGCCTCTTCTCTGCACATGTTACAGCAGTTGCAATCCAGATCAGATACTGCACACACAGGAACAGAGTCCACAGTCCACATCTAACTGTTACACAGGGCAGGAAGGGAATGAAAGGCTCCACTGTGATCTGTTTGCTCCCCCCCCACACACACACACACAAACAAATGTGAAGAGAGGCTTGAGCACGTACTTTGAGATAACAATTTGGTTTGATTTAGCTTCTTGAACTTGATACCAGTTGCTGATCCATGATGTAAGGATATAGTGATTGTCCTGCCCTTTTGTTTCAGTTTCATGGATCATAATTCCACATTCCCCATTTCAGCACCATAGACACCAGTTAATGAGGTTGAACTATAACAACCCAAGCCTGTTCATTTTTTACTAATTGATAAAGTTCCCCATATGGTGGAAAAGACAAATGAAGGGATCAGGAAGGAGCAGAGGGTAATCTGATACCATACCACCACCATAACACATTGCTGATTTTTACAAGATACTATGTAGGGAGTTAGCCACTAGTGTAATTGCTTTAGTGGAGAATGGAGGAGTCAGTGCTGTTCTTTAAATTTCTGGGTAAAGAGAAAAATGTCTGGGAGATCTCATACTTGCTACATCTGTGCAAAAAAAATGAAACTCTTTGGGGTAATTTATTGGTTGGCAGTGATGCCACTTCATTTCCTTTTCTCGTGTCTAGCTAACAAGCATAGTTTCTGATTTCAGCAGCAGAAGGTATCAAATTTGGTTTGGAAGCAGAAATTATCCTTGCGATTAGCAAGACTAAGGAAAATGACAGATTGTATGGTTGTTTTTTTAAAGAAAAATCAACTAATGAGAAAAGACACTCGGCTCTTCCTGTGTATTCTGTGAGCAAATTCCCCATTAACGCCAGATACAGCTCTCTCCTGTTTACCTTGTTGTCACTCTGTAACCTTTCAGTGGCTGTTCCTGGATGCTTTGCCAGTGCGTTCAGTTTGGAGTGGATTCAAGCACCCAATAATTACTTATGTCCACTTCAATGTCCTCTTATCTGCGACTCACTGTTGTTTGCCAAAGAGTCTTGTGCTAATATTATTTCAAAGCATCATTTCCCAAGGCCATGTAGGAGCCCTCACATGGTAATCTTTTGCCTTAGTGAATTCCCGGAAGCAAAACCTCAGCAAACAGACTGCCCTATACAATGTCAGGCATTCTGACAGCTGTATGCACTGTGCTTATCTGCGTCCCTTCACTGTCCCTACCTTGGTCTTGCAGCCCCCTCTTTATTCTCAGATAGGTGAAGACCTCTAGGGAAGCAATGTGCATATTAATGGTCTGACTGTAGAGTAGGGAGTGTATGTAGAGTGGGGAACAGATATTTTCCCCAATCATATTGGCCGCAATGTTTCCCACCCACCCCTGTTGTTCTGCAGCAAGTGACCTAGGGTGATTTCCCACAAGCGCTGCTCCGCGCTCACTCCTCCCTTTTGCCCCGATGGTATGTGTCAATTTCACACAAGCTGCTGCGCGGCCCCATGTTGCCCTGCAGCTTTGTGCGATTTTCCCCGCGTCTACTCAATCCTCAAAAAACAGGATTGAGTAGACGTGGGGAAAATCACACGAAGCTGCGGGGCAAAATGCAGTCAGGCAATAGCTTGTGTGAAATTGACACGTACCATCGGGCCAAAGAGAAGAGTGAGCGAGGAGCAGCGCTTGTGGGAAATCACCCCTAGATTTTCAGAATGAATAGTCTCTGTCTTTACTGTGTAAGCCCCTTTATGCAGTAAACCCACTCTCTTTGCTTGTGGCACATTTGGGTTTGGGTTGCAAAGCTGACTTAGTAGATGCCGGATCTGGCCTTGGATGTGAGTTCCATGTGGCCTTTCAGAAATGCCTTTAGCCACTGACAGATGCACCACAATGTTTCTGATCAGCATTCATTTCCTGCAGTACCACATTAGGTGCACAGCTACCTCATGGGAGAATGGTTCCCTGGTATAACAGTGATGTGGAACCTGGGGACAATGAGTGGGGTGGGGGAAGATATACAAACAATTTCTTCAAGAATACTCCAAATTTATATAATCCCAGAAACTCGATACAACTTCTTTTCAGCTCTACAGATCTATCCATATAGCCCTCTTTGTCAGTGAGGCAGCTGCCCCAGGCCCTGTACTGGGGGCACACCACCCTAAAAACCCCAGGTACATTGTGTGATGTGGGGATGAACTGCCAAGCCAAAAGCCAAGCCCCTCAGCTGCATAGCACAGGGAACAGGTGCCTGGCTACCCAGAGAAGACCTTTAGCCACACAGTGCAGGGGGTGACCTTCACAGCCTAGCGCCACACAGCTTGCTAGACTGGGTGGGCTGGCTCTTTCTCGCTCCCTCCTTTGGGGAGGTGGGGCCAGGTGTGGTGATTCTGGGGTGCCATCCCCTACATCTCCTCCACTTCCAACTTAAGGAAACAAGAACTGATGAAGTTAGCTGATAAGCAGGTGACTTTCCAGCTAACGGCTCCAAGACCAGACTTGATTATAGTCACTGGTCAAAGACAGTAGGGTGTAGGAAGTTTCATTGGCAGATTCAGGTCAGTGCAGTGGTAATACAGGGATCTTTGTAACCAGTTCTGCCTTTCACCATGCATTATTTTGAGAGGAGACTTAACCAGGATTAGAATAAAAAGGAAACATGGACAATTAGGCCTAATTCAGAAGACCAAAATAGTGTTTTGTGCTCAGTGCCTGAGTAAGCCATTCACTCCTCTACATGCCAGAGAAGTATGCTTCATAAAAATATCTGCTCCCCTAATAACATTCTTTATCAATCTTTCATTCCACCAAGTGAATTATTGCAGTATCATCCTTACTGTTCATGTAGACCTGTAAATTCCAATTGTTTAGTTTTTAGGAAATTTATTTACAAAAAATTAGGGCATTTTTATGCTTCTTCTCCAGAATCCTGCTTCAGGAAGCTTATGAGTATAAACAATGCCATAAAGCATAAAACCTGAAGCTGTCATCATAGCGTTTCCAGTGATTCCTAGAGCTACCCCTTTTCACTTCTGGGTAGCTCTAGGAATCACCAAGAACTCTATAGTAAGAACAAGGCCTAATTTTTCTTTTTAGTGAAACCTGGCAGCAGGGAATCCCCCTAACCAAGCCCTGATAGTAGCCTGGTCACCACATTTTCAACCAATTGAAGTTTTTGACCATTTTCAAAGGCAGCACCTTATAGAGTGAATTATAGTAATTTAATATGGATGTGATCAGAACATGGATCACTGTGGACAGAGTAGTCACCACCCACTTGAGCACCTTGCCCAAGAATGGAATGTTAGCCACTGGGCAATAGTTATTCAGGTCACTGGGGACACATTTAAAGCATTGAATGAATGTGGTACTTTATGCCAGTGGTTCCAAAAGTGTTTGCTCTACATTTAACAATAAAGTGTTCATTTTCTTTTGAATTCAACCTCTGCTATACTGTCCCTCTCACACGCTACAAAGAATGAGCAATGTAAGACCCATGAGCCACGTCCTGCCTCCAAAGATTTTCCCCACAGTCCATTCTACACTGTGCTGTTGCCACCAGTTGACTATCTTTAGATTACTCATTGGGGGAGGGTGTAGGCTGTTTCTAAGGTGGTTGGTGGTTCATTACCATGGTGGTTCTTAAGTGGCTTTTAAGCCACCCACAGTCTACTCCCTAGATCCCATACCAAAATGGTTTTCACGTCACTATTTAGGAATTGCAACTTTGTTCTGACTACCCTTTTGCAGTTTTCTGAACACCCAAATTTGATGTGCCAACAATCTCTCTTTCTATTATTTACAGCTACAGCCCATATATGAAATACTGCATAGGACCAATCTTGCCCATACTGAAACCAAAAGGCAAAATTTGAAAAGGGCTTTGGGTGAATACTTAACTGAGTTCAATGCTTGCCGCTGTAGTCCTTGCCTTAACAATGGTCAGCCAATGCTGATGAAGTCCTCCTGCATTTGTGAGTGCCAACAAGGCTCTCAGAGTGCAGCATGCGAGAACACGAGGTGGACAGGTAAGGTGACATCGCTGAAGAAACGTTTTACTCTAACTTAAATAAAGGGGTACCTTTCCAAATCTACCCATCAGTCAACATCTCCCTCTGGTGCTTTCGATCATGTACGTGCTGGGCAGCCTAAAAGCCTTCTACAGGAATAAAATTAACAGCTCAGGTGATTATGATAAGTAAGCCAGGTTAAGCAAAGACAGTTTTAGAAGCAGCAAATGTGCCTGTATTGTAATTCATGCCAGAGACTGCAAGAAATGAGCCAAAGAATGACACCAACTGAATGCAAATGTACAGCCCAATCCTTTGCAGTTAGGGTATATTGCATGCAGCTAGGAGTATTTCTACTGCTGCCATTCTGTTTATTAAGAAGGGCTGATGGCATGTTTGTTTCTATTACCTCCCCCTTCATCAGCAGAGCCACTTGTGGGATGTGGGAAATCACTAAAGCTTGCTCTGTCAAGCAGTGCACTGGAGCAGTTCCTTATAAATAATTCCCATTAGGTCCTTTATAAATGTGAACTGCAAACATACAAAGAACAGGAGTAGAACTTACCAGAAAGGAGAAGGACCCTTGAGAAGGCTGATCCTTCCTTCTCACTAAAAAACAAAATCTGACTAGTATACACACAGAGAATGAATGGGATTTAGTGATTCCCTTCTTCTAAGTGTGCATCTTCACCAAAAAGCAACAAGGTTAACAATAACATGTAATTTCCTGTACAAAATCACTACCCATGAGGTGATCACAGGCCAGAAAGGGGAGAAAACTGTAATTTCTGCTACATGATTTTTAAATTAATGTACTAATGCCCATACTGTTTGTATTTATTTTATAGTTTTAATGTTTTTACAATGTCATATATCACCCAGATTGGGTGATTCAGAAGAAGAAAATAATAATGATGATGATGATGATGATGATGATGATGATGATGATGATGATGATGATGATGATGATGATGATATCTTTTTGCATAGTATACTCTAGGGATAGAATCACACATTACTGTAATCATGTGACCATCTCTAAGATCAGCAGTCCCACTTGTCTTCTCTCTTTGCTATAAAAATAATGCTACCACATAGGTAATATTATATGAATGTGCTTTTGAGTTTCCCTGTCCCCCACCTGAGTCCATTGGGCTGCTGCCTGTGGTAGAGGGGACAAACACAATAAATATTTTAATCTTTAAGATGTCCCCAAAATACTATGCTGTTTTTGTTTTATGAGGTTGACATGGCTAGCTTTTGAAATTTGAGTCTATTAGTTAGCAGAGTTTTGTAGTCATCCCTGGCATCCTTGTATAGTTAAGAGGGTCAATAGATCCAAAACTTCTATCCCATGAATAGTAGAGACTTCATTCAATATCAGGAGCCTTCCACTGGTGCGAGGAGCCTTGTTCCAGTAGAAGAAACTTATTCCACTGGTGGAAGGTGCCTGCCATCCAAGGAAGATTCCATTGCTAGTGGAATAGAAACTTTGGCTCCAACCTGAGATCACTGTCATATTTTATACCAATGTAACAATTTCATACTATTAATAGAGTAATTGTGTAAATCCTAAGCTGTAGTATCACCTGGTTTTCTAATAATGGATTGTTCTGTCATAGGTCATCCAGTACATGGTATGTGGACTTGCTGGTCACCATGGACTCCTTGTCAATCTCAGTCTCGAAGGCGAACCAGGCAGTGCACTAACCCTTCTCCTCAAAATGGTGGAACAGCATGTGCAGGCAGAAATGAACTAACGGAGGCATGCTAACAGCATAGCATGAGTGAATTAGTAGGTTCTGCTGCCAAAGGGGAAAAAATGTATGTTTGTGTGATGATTCATGCAGTTTCATATGTCTGATATGCTCCTAGGAAATGCTCTAACATAGTGAAATAAAAAGTAAGATTCTTGAGGACTAGCTGCACTGCGCAAAAGTATCAGCAGCAAACCCCCCCCCCCAAGAATGGCTACACCAGTAGGCAGGAAAAAAATGTAGAAAAACAGGTTCAAGGTGAAAAAAATTATTTAGTTATTGAGGAGCCCTACACATTTTGCGATTCACTTTGTCAGGGGATCATTTACAAAATAATTCACTTTCCACTTTGAGAAGTAAGATGAGCATCTTATTGCTCAAGGTGGAAAGTGATATCATACGGTATAGCTACCCATAAAGGTACCCATATATTTTATCCCTGTTCAAAATGCAATGGAATTTTCTTGGGTGAATCTTCAAGGTGACTAGCCTTCTAGGTCTTCACTCCCTATAAAAAAGTCTGAGCATGGTGTACTTCTCTTTCTTTTGTATCTTTCTTTCCATGTGGTACAACAAACCCTTTTGAATCCCAGAATTCAATGCAAGCGCTTGGACTGTCAAATGAACATACATATGAAATTCTGGAAATAGATATGAATTTATTTTCTAAGAAGTGAATAAATCCAAATATTAGATTGAATAAGGCGAATAAAGCATTTTAAAACAACACAAGTCATGTTTGAATGAATCATATTTTACTGGGTTTACAGATGAAAGATGGTGGATATTCTGACTTTATAAATATTGTACAATGGAAGAGATGTCATACAAATACTGGGCATAACCCATACCTCCTGAAGCCCTCACATTACAAAAATGGTGTGCAGCCTCCTTGTGCTCTTGTGTCCTGCTTTGTATAGAAGCTGTGTACCTGTAGGGTCCAAGGAGGACTAATGCATGGCTACACTGCTGAACATTCAGTCCTAAGGCTTGGATCCCAGCAGTGTTTCCCATTGAGAGAGAACATTTCTGCCAGTGGAGAAGAGGAGCAATTTTTAGAAGAAGAAGAAGAAGAAGAAGAAGAAGAAGAAGAAGAAGAAGAAGAAGAAGAAGAAGAAGAAGAAGAGGAGGAGGAGGAGGAGGAGGAGGAGTTTGGATTTATACCCTGCCCTTCACGATCCAACGGTGTCTCAGAGCGGCTTACAAACTCCTTCCCCTTCCCCTCCCCACAACAGACACCCTGTGAGGTAGGTGGGGCTGAGAGAGCTTTGGACAGAAACTGCTCTTTTTCAAGGGCAGCTCTTATCAAAGCTACGGCTTTCCCAAGGTCATCCAGCCAGGTGCAAGTGGAGGAGTGGGGAATCAAACCCAGTTCTCCCAGATTAGAATCTGCACACTTAACCACTACACCAGACTGGCTCCCCCTTGTACATCTGACCCAAACTTTGCCCCTGCTGTTCTTGTGGGTTCACCCATCACCCATGTGCAGAAAGATGTGGGCCATAGCAGACTGTAGTAGGAGACAGAAGACCAGAAAGAACCCTTCCATTATCACTGCTATCCCTGTGTAGCACTGGATCCAAGCCAATGGATATCTGTCTGAGGGCAGTTGGCAGGAGAAAAAAGGCTCAACAGATACCCTTTGAGTGATAGTTCCCAAAACCTCAGCTTTGTGAATTGTAAACACAGGGTCATGTCTGCTGTTTATTACAGGGATTCAGTAGACTTTATTAACTATAACAGGTGTTTATTCTTAAAGTGAATCCTTAAAACAGAGACTATGATGGATACAGCAGAATGATCTGGACACCAAATAGTGTAATGGTGTTTGAATTTTGTTTCAAGCAGGAGCAGTGTAAAATTCACAGATGCTTAAATTCAGTGCAATATAACTTTTTAAAAAATATAAATGGATGATGAATAAATGAATCATAGCCACATGCATCTCTTCCACTGAGGACACTGCCGCACAAATAAGGATATTTGCTCTTTAAGGCTAGCCATGAATCATCTGTTAGAACACCAGCATTTTATCTCCAAGGATCCCAAAGCTTGGGGATGTTAGCAGTCTGGTTGATTTAAGGGCCCTTTTTGAATGCAAGGCATAAATCTTACTGCAAGAATATGCGCAGTATTGAACTGAGTCCAAAGACTGTGGTTGAAGTCCATTGCACCATGCTTCTAATGAACTGCTGTGAAAACAGGCACAGGCACACAGTGAATCTCCACAGAACTGCCCTTGATTGTGTGGCACTTTTTTATTACACATGAGAATGAATTGGGTGCCAATAAAGGAAGGACAAAATCAAACAACACAGAATCACTGTTGTCTTCTGAGAGTAATTCCTGCCCATGTTGTGCCAGGCAACTGAATCACAATCAATTCCAAAAAAGATCCATTAAAACATGCAGAACGGCATGACACAGAGTCTTGCATATCTTCCTTTTCCTCTTTCTTGCTCTGCCAGATTACATGTCCCAGCAAGCATCGTTACCTACAAGTGTACTTAAGAGCACAACAGTAAAGAACCAGGCTTCCACCTGATTCAATGGTTATTTGAATAGATCTGATGATTAATACTTATTAAAAGAGTCCTGAATAAGCATAATGAAGCAGGCTTACATCTCCCTAAAATATATATGCTGTCTTATTTGTGTATTTATTTCACTCTATTTCTATACCACTTTTCCTTGCTGCTGAAAGCAGTTTACAATAAAACAAGTTAATTATAAATGTTAACTCTATTTGCCCTCCTTCCAATTTCCAGTCTTAGTCCCAGTTGCTGAGTGCTGGCAGTTGTCAGGCAATGTACTTTCATTTTAAAATTAAAAAATATATATTAGAGGATTTCCTACTCGTTTCAAGTACTGTTGAGAAGCAAGATCTCCTTCATTCCCTCTGTTTGTCCCTCACTCATACACATGCTGCAACCACTCTGAACTAGAAATCTGTCATGGCCTGGCGTTCTTCATTATTTTACTCCTTCAGCTGGCCAAGCTGCCATTTATAGTAAGTTTATATACAACTGAGAACATGTACTGTGTGATATTTCCACACTGTGATAAGGAAACAAATTCCATCTTATGAGATGAGGGCAACTGACAACAAAAGGGATGAGATGGGCACACTCTCCAGTCCACACGGCAGTGCTCTCATACAGTTACATTCCTCTAGAAGCCACCATCTGGTTGCAATGAGTCATCTAGCCCTACCAGTAAAAGAAATAATACAAGCGGCAGCACTTCATTCCACATTTGATTAAGCTATGTGGGGAGAACACAGCACTGGGATGAATCTACTTCTTAACAAAAAGAGTTGCCTTTTAATAGCACCAATCTTGAGATGCAAGTTTTTCCTACAGAATGTTGATGGGTGTTTTGAGTTCATTGTTCCAGCACTAACTTGACTGCTTTACACCTTGGAGGATCAGACCTATGTTTCATGTGACCTTTCTAGAAGGAGAAACATTTCTTATTTTTTTAATGTTGTATTTCCAGCTCTTGTCAAAATGAAGGCAATTTTCTTTTGTAAGGAGGGCTATGCCATGCTGTTCTAAACACGGAGGGTTGAGCTTTTTGTGGAAATAGGAAAGTGGCTATATAACTCTTGCAAATTGATAATAATTCACGGTTTTGTGCTGATGGAACAGTATCTTACCATTTTTATAGCAAAGAAATACCTATTTTCACAGAGAACTGAAACCACATATATTAACTCCAAGTAGTGCTCAAAGGCTTTGATCTCACTCCAGGCAAAAAGCAACAGCCCCCAACTTTTCTTGTAGCCCCAAAGGTATTTTATTTCAGCTGTGCAAGGTATGTGTACAGGAGGATTATTATTTATTACACAAAGTGGACTGAATAGCAACAGCACAGATACATTTTTATAAGCCTGAGATCCTTTACTTAATGTTCAAAACTACTCCCCAATCAGACCCCACCAGGCTTCTGCTGGTGTGAGCAGGTCATTCCCTGCTTTCCCCTTCCCTGCAAGTTACCTTTGATTCCCCCCCCCCCATACTACAAGCTATGTAGGACTGAGGGTGTTCTTTTGCATTTACCAACAGACATGTGTACACATACCTTGCACAGCTGAAATAAAATACCTTTGGGGCTACAAGAAAAGTTGGGGGCTGTTGCTTTTTGCCTGGAGTGAGATCAAAGCCTTTGAGCATTACTTGGAGTTAATATATGTGGTTTCAGTTCTCTGTGAAAATAGGTATTTCTTTGCTATAAAAATGGTAAGATTGAAGGTCAAAGAAGACGGGGACGGCAAAGGATGAGATGGTTGGACAGTGTCATCGACGCAACGAACATGAAATTGAGCCAACTTCAGAGGACAGCGGAAGACAGGAGGGCCTGGCGGGATCTGGTCCATGGGGTTGCGAAGAGTCGGACTCGACTGTGCGACTGAACATGTGGCAGGATCCAACCTAATATTGATATTTAAGAAACTGAATATGGACTCAGCTATGGCCCAGTGTGTTTATTAAATTTTTCAGAGGACCATAAAGAATAAAAGCAACAAAACTAGCGATACCAAATGAAATTATTTCTAAGGCTCTACGGATTCAGTAAGCCAATAGTTCATAGATATGTCTGCAGAATTTGGCATCCTATTCAAAATGTAACTATTCTCATGGAATTGGTACAAATTCTGACTGCTATTATTTATTTGTGTGTTCTTTTATTTATCAGGTTTATTATTCAGTGTTCCTTCATAGAACTCAAGAAGGCTTCTATGGTCTATCCATTTTATCCTCCAACAATTTGTGAAGTAAGTAGGTAAGAAGCAGTCACTTCCCTAGGCTGACTTTATGGCTGAGCAACCCTGAGCCCTCCATCCCCACCTTGAAAGCCAACTATATAACTCACTGACTCTCACAAACTGGAACACAACTGCTGTCAATAATCACTTAATGGCCTCAGAATAGCAATGATGCCAGCCATATAGCAAAGGAGTGCCCATTACTTGCAAAGAATGAATATAGTTGTCTAAAGAAAGAAGGTTTCTATCACCAGATTTTGGCTTTCCTAGTGGCATGTTGGCATATTTTAGTGCAGAGCTGCAAAGCCAATAAAATATAATGTAAATGATCTTTTTAAAAGAGTCATATTTCTGTTTATTCCTCCTTCTCAGATACCAGACCAAGAACACCACATTTGGATCCTGTCTGCATGTGAAAGGTCAAACT